GGTTTATCGGCTTCTTACAATCAATACCAAAATGACCTAACTTGCCACAGTTAAAGCATTTTGTATGCTCATCAGCTACTGCTTTGCTATATTTCTTTCCTTCTTYTGGHTTTYGCTCGTACTTCTTCTCGAATCTTTTCTCTTCGTATTTCTTCTTCTCTCCGAACTTGTCCTTGTAGTCATACTTTGATCCGGATGAGAATCGTTGATTATTCGAGTGTGGCTGTTTGATGAACTTATACTTCTTGAAAGCTTTGGTCAACATTACCATAGCTTGCTTTACTTCAGAATCAGATTCTGAGCTGTTACTGTCTTCTTGCTCAGATTCGCTTGACGAACTAACTTCAACAACCTTCTTTCCAGCTCTGCTTTTATACTTCTTTTCCTTTTTCTCAGTTATAAGAGCTAAGGGATCAGAAACTTCCTTTTCCTTCTTCTTAGATTTACAGATCTCCAAAACATCTTGTTCATTCTGTTTCAGATTTTCATATATTTCATGTATATCAATATCAGATAACTGTTTGTTGAATCTGATATTATTTGCAAATGTTTTCCACTCTGGTTGAAGATTGTTAAGGAACTTAACATTTATCTCGATAGTAGTTTTGGAGATACTATTCTTCATTAGCTCATTCAGCAGCCTGACAAGACGGTTATATACATCATCAAGACTTTCTCCCTCTCTAGCCTTGAATTCCTCATATGCAGATTTGCAGTTAGTGATCTTTAGTTGAGTTCCAACTTTAGAGCCCATCATCATTTTCTCTATTTGAATCCACATGCTGTGACCTGATGATTTGTAGCTATSAATACTGGTATAGATATCATTGGTCAGTGCTTGCATCATGTACGATTTGCAAAGCACGTCAGCATGTGCTCTCTCTTTTTGTTGAGGATCATATTGATCTTTTGTTAAACGTACTTTCTGTGCAGGAACACCAAGTACATTATCAGAATCTGACTCTACAAAGAATTCAGCTGGACCTTTTAATAGAGATTCCATGATCTGTTCTCCTTCTTTCAATCTTTCAATAAAATTCAAGAATCTATCTCTCCATTGATTGTAATCTCCTCTAAAAAGTACTGGTGGCTTGGTATCAGTACCAATAGCCATCGCTTCTTTTGAACTCATCTTTGTAGTTTGTATGAAAATTAGGATCGACTGCAGTTCAAAGTTGGAATTTAAAAGATCAGTTTACAAAAATATATCTGATAAAAGTAAACTGTAATAAGCACACATTCAACACTTAGACATAAGCACAAAAAATATCTGTCCGGATTAGCAATCCGCACACGTTGTCCGGTTTACAAGTCTGGTCAAAGAGATGGACGAAACTAACACGTTATCTGGATTAGAAATCCGGTCAACATATGAACATAAATCGCACAAGTATAAATCGCACAAGGTCAAACTTACTAAATCGATCAAAAAGTCAAAATTATTACACCGATCAAAAAGTCAAACACTTGTACCAATCAAAGTCAAAAGATATGAAATCAATCAAAAGTCAATCACCGTTCAAAATTTAAACACCGTTCAAGACAAATACCGCTCACTTACCAAGCGGATTCCTAAACCGCACACTTACCAATATCCGATCAAGTTACCAAAACCTTACCAGCCGGATATTTTTAAACCGCTTACAAGTCCTCTCAAGTGTTATCCAGTTTATCATTAATCCGCTCAAGTTATGTTCGGTTTACTAGTCGGATTAGCTAAACCGTTCAAGTAATCCTTCCAAGTGTTGTCCGRTTTTACCTATATCAAAAACAACTAAAACCACACGGATTGTTAAACCGCACAAGTCTTATCCGGATAGAAATTCAACCAAAAACATAAAATAGCATACTTTTTCCAAAAAAATGGATCAAAACATGAAAAATATGAGTTTTTTATGAACTTTTACCAGAAAACCAAAAACCGATTTTGGGCAATTTCAGCCTCAAAACTTGTGTAAAACACAAAATGGTGTGAATCAAAGTTGTTTACAATGCAAAACCGAAACTCACGATACAAATTTTGAACAATAACACTCAAAGATTAAACAGTTTTGGCACAAAAACCAATCCGGTCAGAAAAAAAATCAAGAACAGTGATGAATCAGATCGAAAAAATATAAAAAAAATTCGTGCAAAATGTGTAAAATGGATATCTTCAAATCCAAACTGCTGCAGCTTGCTTTGATACCAATTGTGGAGTCCAGATTTCATACAATTCTTGATATGATCTTCATAGATTGATAAGAACACTAAGAATGATATAAGTAATGATTAGGAGAGAGAGAGAGAGAGAATTACATCAGCCAAATCTTGATTTCAGTGTTAATGACAAAAGCTCTAATTACAATTACAAGGGAATTCCTATTTTATACTAGGAAAGTAAAGACTAAAAGTTTTGTATAAAACTATTCTAATGAGAAACTTGAATACAACTTTTAAGCTATAATCTTGAACCCAACAGAATGATAGAAAGAGAAATGATTATTTTATTCAATTCCACCAATGAGATGGAGTTATTATTGTTTATAAAAAGTTTTTAGAAAAATTGCATTAGGATGATAAATTAGAGAATATTATAGTAATATAATTTATATTAAAATCTCTAAAATAGAGAATCTTTTGAGATGAATGTAATTCTTTTTAGAAAATTTATGTTTTGGTTCCCTATTTTAGAAAAACGGTTGGAAATGCTCTAATGTTCAATGTAAATAAAAAGTAGAGAAAGTGGGTTATTATCAATGTTCTAAATGACGTGAAATGTGGTGTGACGATGAGGTCAAGTTTTACGAATTACGGTGAGGTCACGACGTTTTTCAAAGTGTGACCTAATGTGGCATATATATATACATATATATATATGTGTGTGTGTGTATGTATATATATATATATATATGTGTGTGTGTGTGTGTGTGTGTGTATGTTAAGATGTTTTTTTTAACTATATATGTATACACCCACCCACACTTGTATGTGTTAGTATTTTGAATAATAGTATACATAACCGTTCCAATCTTTTTGGAGGTCTTGTTACAAATTGCACGACAAATAGTACCAAAAAAATTAACTGTAATAGTTCATACCATATATTGTACTAAATGTCTTACAACTTAAAAGAACAAAAATGTTTATTATGATAAGGTAACATGAGAAAATCACTTAAACAAAACCATTCTTCTAAGTCATTTCGAAACAAAATCTTCAATCAATTATACACTCTTATAACAGTAAGAGAACGAAGACGGAACTTATAATTACTTGATAGCAGCAAAACTATGCACTTACAATTTTTGTTTCTTTTTCAAGAAATTAAACAAGATTTACAACCTTTTCTTTGTGGGAGTTGTTCTTTACTGAACAATTGTATATGCTTTGTTAAACATTTTTAAATGAAAAACAGAAATTAAAAATGCCCAAAAAATATCATATTCGTAAAGCAGAAACATAGATGCACTCCTATGAACGTGAAAAACATACCCTATTAGTGAATTCAACTTGAAATTGTTAAGTCCTTCATATCTGTTTAGTTAAAGTAAGAATTATTTATGGTCGAACCATCTAGTTTTCTTTCTAGGCATGTTTCCTTTCACGATTCATTGATTGTAATCCTATTTTTATTATATATATTTTTAGTTTTTTTTTTAGTTATATTTAATAACTAACTATTGCCCTTATATAAAACATCCCACCTAGAAATGAGAAATTGATATCTGAAAGTTAAAAAAAAATTGGGCCATGATGTTGATGAATAAGGGTTCTTTGTCCTGCTATGATCACTTGAAAGCAAAACTTTCCAAACCTCAAGAATCATGAAATTAGGGAAGGCTTGAAATCAATCTTCCTTAAAGAACTCGTCTCTAATCCCTTTCTCTAGAGCAATTGCAACATTATGATTTTTAAACCTAAACAAGATGTTAATTTTCATTTCTAGACCTAAACAATATGAAATTGAATTTAAAGAAATCAAAGTAATATTCTAATAACTCTAGCGTTGCAACCCTTGGTTATCACTTCAAAGAGACAAAAGAAATCGAATTTAAAAAATTAACAATTTAACATACAACAATAGCCCAATCGATCTAACCATAGAAACAACAAAAATAATCACTTAAGTCTTATAAAAAGAAATCAAGTTTATGGAATGGAATTTACCTTTCACTGTTTTTGATGTTAACAGAGATTGAACCAAATTAGTTGTTGATGTTAAGGATATTACAAACCACACTTTAAGAATCAGCTTCGATTGAGAGTTGCATGAAATCTTTGACGGGGTTCTTGGATATCAATGGTAGAATGACGAATCAGTAGAAACTCATAGTTATGCAGCTTTGGGGATTTCAATCGTCAAATCGGGAATAGAAGGTCGAAGAGGATTGAAGAGGCGCTCTTGATAACGAGGTAGATGTACACTAGAAAGAAGTCGGTTTTGGATTTTGATGTCGACCGTAGATTTAAGATTTTGGGCTATGTAATCCATATATCAGAACCTTAAAGGAAAATATAAAATAGATATGGGGCCCTGATCAAGGTCTCCTATTTAAGAATCCAGAAGACGAGCCTGATAGTATACAACAAATTATATTCATATAAATTAATAAAATTAAAAAAGAAAGTAAAATCATTAATACCAGACATATAGAACTTATAAATAATGATATCAAAAATACAAAATTGTAATTAAATATCTTGAATGTCTACTCACTGTTTTGTTCAATTTTCAATGAATTCATGTTTGACTTTTTGTTACGGGAATGTGAATAAGCATTTTTCCTATTTAAGATTTTATTTTTGAAATTTCCTTTTTATGTATACTTAAATATTAGGTCTCGTATATAATTATCATAGCACAACGCATTATAATGTGTCGTAACTCACAAGTGAACTCGTTACAATGCTTATGATATGTTAATGATGAACCTAAGCCTTGAGGCGCCATTATTTAAAACCATGGTTATTATATCAATCTCCATCGGAAATGCTCTTAGTCCAACCCTCCCGAAAAACCTTACCGCCGGCAAAGTGGAGGCTAACCCTTCTGCCCCACCCATCGTTAAACTCCGCCCGTATTGTACTTCACACCAAAACACAAAAAACACCTACTTGATCCTCGACTACTTCTTCTTCTCTGCAAGAAAACATCGAAATAAAGCCCTAAAAATGGTGGCTGCAAATCCTGAACAGCTGTAAATAAATGAGAAAGGAGGATCTTGGTCGTCACACTTGTACTTTACAACTTCAGGGGAATCTCTTCAGATCACTCCCTCCAATCAAAACATTTAGGTAAGTGTTTATCTTTGCTGGTGTTTTTTATTATGTTTGTATGCTTCGATGCTTTTGGGGCTTTACTTTGTGTTGGCAGCATCTTCATTGATACTTCATAGGTTAATTGGAATGTTCATTTAAACTTTTTATTTACCTTTTATTTTTGCTTTTGAGTGTTTCAAACTGATTGTCATGGAAAAACTGCTATGTTTGTCAGTTGCTGTAATTGGGGTTACAAGATGGAGTTGACAACCAAAGAGCTCTGAACAATTTGTAAAAAAAGATTTGGAGTTTGTTTAATCCAAGTAACTTGCTTGAAGGTTGTTTCTGCTTGTTTATTGTTTAAAAGTAGATCGGTTATTTTCTCTTTTGGATGCCATAAAGTATTTTAATTCGTGCAAGACAGTTGATTCTTATGGAATCTTAATTCTCATACCATAATCATGCTGAATGATAGATTGCAAAAATGCTTTGGACGCAAATACTTTGTGGCTGTTTAGATAAACCAACATGATTTGTATCAATTGATTCTTAAATTATGAGTTATGTTACCCTTGTGAGGAAGAACCCTTCATAATGCTGCCACTTTGCCTTAGTTCGAAAGTAGACCACAAATTGACTGTTAGAGGATCCGAACCAATTTGATCACTCTGGTGACTGCTCCTATTAATGGAATATGGAAAATGTGACATGTTATGGTCCAAAAGTTGTAGCCTAAGGTGTGGGTTTTAATACATATTTTAGTGTTTGGGTAGTTCTTATTCTTTATTGTGAAATACTTCTCTTTGCTGTTTTAATGATCATTTTTTTCAAGGTTGTTCCTGAATCCCATTGATCTTGGTATATGTAATGTCCTAAACGTTCTGAAAACACTTGGGGCCTGTTTGGATTGACGGAATGTTTTTGAGGGATATGGATTTCACGGGAGGATTTGGAATGGGAAAATTTGGAATCTTTGGTGTGTTTGGTTTGTAGGATTTGGAATGGAATTAAATTTCACTTTTTATATATAATTTGTATAAAAAATAATTAAATTACCTTTTCATTAATTGATTATTATAAAACAAGTATCTTTTGACATATCTAAACATTATTACAAACAAATGATATGAAATCCCATTGAATACCAACTATCCACATGGGATTTCTAAATCCAATGTTTGTGGGATTTCAAAGCCAAGCATTCCTCCAAACCAAACATAGGATTGGAATGAAATTGAATTCCAGATCCCCACAAATCACACAAACCAAATGGGACCTTAGAAATGTCTAGTTATTTCAGCTACAGAATGCGCCAAAGCTAATCTCACTCTTTTAAAAATTAGGAACACAGTGTGGTAATGTCTCATTGAAGTTGAAGTTTCTTTTGAATTCTTTGCAGGCATAATTGTGCATCACTGAACTGGTTTTGGGGTCCCTGTTGGCATTCCTAGACATTTCTGCAGTATTCATGTTGTTGGAGGGATAGTAAGCTATGGATTCTGCAAAGACTGCCAATAATCTCAAGGGTGTGTTATAAATACGCGAATTTTATCACTCAAATTTTCTACTTGATGCTAGTTCCAATTGAGCTATTTGCATATCCATGCAACCTTGTCATAAACATTCTCTCTCCCTTCGTAATAAAGAATTAAAGAAAGATGATCTCACAACAATTAATTTATTTTCTTAATTTATTAGTAAGGAAAATTTCACCGTGAATCGAGTGTATATCTTACATTGTTCTAGTGCATGGCAATTCATTTTATTTTTATGTCTATTTGAGCATATACAAGAGATAGAATACCAGGGCCGTGCTGGAGGGTGTTACCAAGATGATATATGGAACAGGGGCCCTGACATTTTTTGGGGCATAATTATACATGTTTTAGCTTTTATCCAGTTCTATATGTTTTAACTTTTAGCTGAATTATAATGTTTTAGGCTTTTTACTCTTTTTAGCTGATTTGGCTCGATAAATTTGAAGAATGTTAGAAGAATGATTCTATTTAACTGAATTTCATATGCTACTTTATCATTTTAAAACACATTGTTGTGTTAGTTTGTTAGATTTTTAATATAATATATGATACAAACATTTATATATTTTTTTATTTATTACTCCTTCAATTGATCTCTAGTCGTACATGTGTAATACATTTTAGTTTGTGAGATTTATCAAGAATAAACTGTTTCTTCAATCCTTTCTTTGTAATTGGTTGATAAAAAAATTGTTCTGATTGAGTTGTTATGCTATCTTTTCTGGAATCATCTTTATGAAAGTTCCAAATTTTTGGTCAAAACTCGTTTCGAGTCCGCCCCAGCAGTTACATGGTACTCCTGTTGCTTGAACCTTCCTCATATGGTCGCTTGTTTAGTCGTAGTGTAAATATAAAGAGGAAATGATGCAAGAATGAAGGGAAAAGAAAGACTAGTATAAACATAAAAGGTAACAGGAAACTTGAATTTACAATTACCCGCAAAAGTATAGAAAAATGTGTGTGCCCCGTGATTGTCCGTGTAGGTGTAAAGGAACATTTGTTCTTTTGCATGCCTAAGTACTATTGATATTCACATTCTTAAAGCATAAAGGAGCTCAAACAAGGGCATCATATTATGCAGGGTTAATGATGTATTACCCTTATTTTCACCATTCACAATACGAATAATATTTTACTCCCTTGAGCTGCAAAGTTTCTTCTTAGACATTGGGTCAAAGATTAAAAACTTATAGACTTCAATTTCAGCAAGCCGAAGATTTCTGGAACCTTTCCTTTGCCCTCTCGTTAATTTAGCCGGATTGTTTAGGAGAGTAACCTTTTGATGAATTTAAGAACGCTTCTGCCTAACAGAAGATTTCCTCCTCCTAACACAAGAATGCCTCAAAATCTGTGTCATGCATTTAAAAAAATCTGTCAGAAGGTTATTCTCCTAAATAACCTAATTTAGTCAAAGTCAATGGAGCTTTTTGAGTGCCTTTACCCATTTATCATGAAAGATGATTTTGGAAATGAGGGTAAGATCTTTTATATGGAAAAGAGAAAAAATGGGGAATATTTTTAATATGACGGATCACTATTTTCCCAACGCATTGTTTTTCTTGCAATGATCATATAGCTAATCAAAGGAGTTTTGGTGAGGTTTAGTTTCTTGGAATCTGGCTCTATAAATTTTACTTCTGAGAGCTTCAACATTGTATCTGTCTCTGTATACATGTGTGAAAGCATACATACACAATGCAATTCACGTGCTCTGATGAATCTTTTAATTTATTTAGTAACTATTTTTTTATTTTTTTATTTATCCTTCTCTGATTGCAGGCTCTTTGTTCATCCAGATCATTCTATTCACTATCTTTCTATTCAGTTTATCCAAAGTGATAGCACAGAAGGTGGCTCCCACATCTCAACTAGCTAGTACACCTAGTTTTGGAATATTTGATCCCATAGAGATATCACCTTCAGTTTTACCACATAATCCCTTTGTTGGTGAGCCTTGGCCACCAATGTATCCTTCCCTCCCCAAAACATACGAGCCACTCTTGACTGGAAGGTGCCCTTTTAATTTCTCTTCCATTTCAAGTATCATGGACAAGACCGCATCAGACTGTTCTCAACTTGTAGCGCCATTTGTAGGAAATGTTATATGTTGCCCACAATTTGGCAGTTCACTACACATATTTCAGGGATATTACGGTACAAATTCTGATAGTTTAGTTCTACAAAACACCACAGCAGATGATTGTTTCTTAGATATGGTGGAAATCTTGGCGAGTAAAGGTGCTAACAGCTCAATACCAGCTATCTGCTCTGTAAAATCATCAAATCTCACCGGTGGTTCTTGTCCTGTGAAAGACGTCAACACCTTTGAAAAAACAATAAACACAAGCAAATTATTGGAGGTTTGTAGTGTCGTTGATCCTCTCAAGGAATGCTGCAGATCAGTTTGTCAACCTGCAATTGTGGAGGCTGCTTTTCATCTCTACTCGTCAGAGTTAATAGTTGACAAGAATACAGGATCGAGTAATATTGATGCACTAAATGACTGTAAAGGGGTTGTATATTCATGGATTTCAAGGAAACTTACATCAGAAGCTGCTAATTCTGCTTTTCGAAGATTGGCTTCCTGTAAAGTTAATAAAGGTACCAGTTCCATATTCCACACTGTGATCTTAAACTTTTTGTGTTGAAGAGTTAATGCCTTGTTTGTTTGTCTGTTTGAATGTTGTTTCTTGCTTCTAACACGTTTTTCAAAATTTAGCACTGCCCTTGTTTTCAACTCTTTTTTTCCAATGTTCTTTTTCTATGTTTCCACTATTTTTTGAGCAAGTTTCTCTTCTTTTTTGCACAAGGTGGGGGTCTTCACAGAAACAGCCACTCTACACTTTAGGGAAAGGCTAGAGTTCAGGTCTGCATGCATCCTACCCCCCCTAGACCCCACCTCTGGGTGGGATATCCTGGCCTCGTTTGCTTTGGTTTAGTTGATGCCTTGTTGGTCGAAGAATCACATTTTCTGAATTATACAGATATATCTTAAACATCTTTAATTTGGATAATGGTTGATTGACTTCATAATTGGAACATGTCATTATTTGATTAGATACTTTGCACCTGTAGTCTGCCCTTTGGAACTTGAGCAGCCAGCTGAGGTGATAAAAGCTTGCCATAATGTGTCTGCTTCAAGCCCATCATGTTGTACCTCATTACATTCCTACATTGCGGGGATGCAAAAGAAGAGCTTGATTACAAATAGACAAGCAATAATCTGTGCGTCGGTTTTTGCAACCATGCTACAGAAAGGTGGAGTACGTACAGACATATATGAGCTTTGCAAAGTTGACTTGAAAGATTTTAGCCTCCAAGGTAAATAACTTGCTGTTAGTCTGTTACTTGCCATTTAGTGCTTATCTGTTCTCAAGAACTCATCTAACCTATTATTCTTTCTGTATGTGGTTATGATCCCTGGACAGCAGACGGACAAGAAGGTTATATTTCTTGCCTTTTTCTTTTATTACAATTTGTTTTTCCCCTTTTTAAGTATTTACATTCGTTTTTGTTGGGTGGTCAACTTGCTTTCACTTTAGGCTTACAACCACCTACTCATGTTTTCTTGTACGTGCTTATATTTGTATGTTATTGCTTGCTCGTAACTAGCTTTCAAAATTTATCTCGTCTGCATCTCTTTTTCGTACACTTTTAACTCAATCTTCATGAAAGCAGCCATTCTACTCCGAGGTAGAGGCCAGATTTGTGTACATCTTACCCTTCCCTAACCCCACCTTCAGTAGGGATATACTTAGCTGGTTTGGTTTGGTTTGGTTTGGTTTGGTTTGGTTTGGTTTTGGGCATACACATGTATTTCACGTATCATTTCTATTTTATTGTCTTAGAAGTTGGATTTGTTAGGGTCCTATTTTAAGGTGTTTTTTATGGATGTGGACTATCGTAACTATGATCAAGTGGAATTATATTATCCGAAATGTGTAGTTTCTTTCTAATTTGTACCTACGAACATGCACATCCTCCGTTCTATGAAAATTGAACTAGTTTGACTAACATGTTTGGCCATTTGTCAAATATCTAAAAAGGGTAAAATGCATCAAAATGCGATGAAGTTTGGTTTAATTCCTATTTAGTGTAACGTAGTATTTTTTTTTGTTAATCGATGTAATAAAGTTTCAAATTTCATATTTCGTACCTATTTTGACCGATAACTTGTTGACCTTGTAACATTTGATGACATGGATGCTCGTGTTATGAAATGTTTACGGCCTAGTGGACGATAAACTTGATATTCGCATCATCAAATGCTACAAGATCAGCGGTTCCCCATCAAAATGGATAAAAATGGGAATGATGAAAGTTTGTTACATCAAGTAGAAAACTTTGTTACATTGATTGAGAAAAAAAAACTTACTTGTTACACCTAAATAGGAACTAAGGAGCTGTTTACCGAACGTTCACCGGGTAAGCGCTTACAAAATCACGTACCTTACCAGGTGAGTCTAGCGTTGATCAAGAATCTTACCTGGTAAATAAAGGTGGTGACTCTTACCTGATTAGCTTGGTAAACTGCCACTAAGCCAAACTTCGTTGCATTTCCCCCTATCTAAATACTCATTAAGTGAACACAAAATAGGAGATCTTATTGACCCACATAACAACATCAAATTATTTCTAATGAAGACAATGGGCCCAAGGAAACTTTGACATGGAATCTTCCTCAAAGAGGAAATATTTCTATATCCATTATAAATCCTGGAAAAAAAACAAGTGTTGTAATTATCATGGGAGAAAGAAGCATCTTTTTCAAACTGAACCAGAAGAAATTTGTTCTGTTATTATATTTATCGCTTGGTCCAGCACAAACCATATATATATATGAGCAAGTAATTGATATGCCTTTGTTGTACTTTCTTCTATTTGTATGTTTTTCTTTACTCTTATCCAGCTTTTCAACTTTTTGTCATATCTGACTCTCTCTGACATACTTTTCACAAGGCGGGTCTTCATTAAAAACAACTATCTCTACTATTTTGGGTTGAGGTCAGGTTTGCATACATTTTTACCATCTCTAGACCTTACTTCCAGGTGAGATATATTGGATTTGTTTGGTTTGGTTTGATTAATATATATACACACATATATATATATATATGGCTCCATTTTCTTCTGGTGGATCTATTGCATTTTCTTTTGAGTACTGAAACCCTTCATATTCAGAATATGTTATTTGCATCAATGGTTTGTATAACAATTATTGATCTCATCTATGATACAATTGCAGCGTGTCTTCTCAGAAGCTGGCCTACAGATGTTGTGTATGATAATTCATCCGGAGTAAGCTTTACATGCGACTTAAGTGACAATATTGCTGCTCCATGGCCTTCATCCTCGATGGCATCATTTTCTCTTTGTGCTCCGGGTAACTTCACCAAATCAACTATACATTTTTTTCAGTATGAAGCATGGTTATATTCGAGAAGAAAGTAAAAACAAAGAAACAAGAATATCCTGAGCTAAAGAATTTAACCGGAGCAATTTATAACTTTCTATAATCCAAGTACAGCTCATTATGACATAATTGCTCTAGTTTTGGTAATTATAGCCAAGAGAAAAACCAATTCTATATGCTCATAGATATCAACATCTGACCCTTATTTTTACATTTTCAATTCTATGGTTTGAACCAAACGGGGTTCAAATAGTAGTACCCAAACTTTTCCTTTTCTTTTACATGATAATGTCATGATATGGATTCGTTACTGATTATGTCCTGCTGATGTTTGTTAACAACTTTGTTAGAGATGTCATTACCTGCACTACCAACTTCGGAGTCGGGATATGCTGGTACGTATTGTTGCCTACTGCTAATGTTATGGTTTAAACTTGTATGGTTTAATGTGGCCGATAGGTTCGAAATATTTCCAATGTACTCCTTGTACCAGTACAATAATGTTGGACAGTAAAGCATTCCCATATTAGTGAGTACTCTTCAATCAAACCATAGGTTCCTTGTGGACTAAAACCAGAAATAACCTTGTGACATATTTTTATTTTCATAAAAATGCATGACACCTCCTAACAGAAGAATGTCCTCCCTTGTTAATGAATGCCTTAAAACCTGTCGGAAGATAATGCTATTAAAAAAATCTTTCAAAAGGTTATTCTTTTAAATGGGTTGGGTTTTGCTGAGAATGGAAGTTATGGTGAGAAGGGTAAGAAGGGATCTCCACTATTGGATCAATCCTAATTGAAGATCAACAGTAATGAGATGCACAAAATCAATTCCCGTATCAAGCGCAATTCATGGGATGGGGTTGATATTAAAAGTGATCAAAGGTCCAAATCCCTTCTTACGCTTCTCATCATCTCTTATTGTCACACGATCCTTCATCCTTCTAAATAACCCACTAAAACCATTAGCATCGGTGTAGATGTCTTACTCTAAAAATCAACAATAATCTACAACTACAACCTTGAGAGGTTAGTTCAACTTGCAATAAGGCTTAGGTTTTGGAGCTCCTCAGAGATCACTGGTTCGAGAGTCCCTGCAAGACCACTAGGAATTCTTTTTGACTGTTTTCCAAGGCCTTGTGAATTAGTCGAGGCATGTACAAGCTGGCCCAGACACCCACGGTCGTCAAAAAAGAGAATTCTATAACTACTTTCCATAACAAAATAAAAGCCTTTTAAGAGAAATTGTTGGATCTCAGATTTCTCAATTGAATAATATAGAACAGATTTAATGAAAATAGTGGAAGCAAACTATATCATACTGATTGAACACAATAATCATATGAAGAGAGGATGCTTTGGCTCTGAATGGGTTGTGCTCATAAGCAAAGGTTGCTTCGCCTTTGTACTCTGACTTGGTTGATCAAAGGCCGAACGTTTGTTATTTCTTTAGGAAGAATTTCCTTGTAGTACTTTTACAATCAACCAAATTGGGGCTCTCAACACAAACTACCTAATATATTGGTGATGAATTTGATGACCAAAATGGAGTTTGACCTTGAGTATGCTTATGGTGCAGGCTGCAATGGGGGTCTTTTGGATCTGCTTGTGATGGTTGTCGTGATCTCTACACTTTTGAATGGATTCTAGTATTTGTGGGAATCACAGATTTGGCAGAGTACATGTAGATTTTGAGCATGTAAGGCATCGGAAACTTTGAATGGTTCATTTTGATGATGATCGCTCATCCAATGGAGGGACATATGGATCACGGTCCGAGGGCTGTATACATCTTCGGTTCCATGAGACTTGCATCAATGGAGTAAATCCTAGCTACAAGCTTTGGTATAGAAAAAGAACACGCAGCTTCAGTTTTGTTGTGGGTGGGTTCATGTGTTTCTTAGAATTTATTTCAGTACAACCTTTCTTTTCTGTACAAAACTATGTAATTTTGCTTATTTTTTTATAATCTTTTCAAATAAAAGTGACATTAATTTGTCGAGATTGCACATGTTCACAATTCATGAGATATTTATTATTAATTAACGTATTACTGACAAGTAAAAGTTAGGTCTTAAAGCACTTCCCAATAAGTCATTAGATTAATGATGTTATTGGCTGTTATTTTCGGGATATCATACAATTAGTCAAGAAACATGCAAGCTAACCTGAACACCCAACAGTCACCTTCAATTCCATTACGATCTAGATATATGTCAAAACTGATAAGTAGTAAGGTTGGGTCGGATTGAGTTGACTATTCATCAACTAACATCTTTGTTTGTCCTCTTTCTAAATTCTATTAATATAAAATATACCAAGTACGTTTATAAAAATTATCATTAAAATAATAATTTATTTTTTTAATAGAACATTTTAAAATTTGTATGGTTGGTTTTTCATTTAAGTCCCATATAAACACCCATGTAAAATGATCGTACATGAGTGGCCTTACCTTTTTACACGATTTTATAACCGTATAAAAATGCATTCTCTTTTTACATGGTTCTAGAACCATGTAAAAATGTCTCATACTCTGTTACACAGTTCCAAAACCGTATAAAAAGACGTTTCACAACCGCATAAAAAAGCCCTTTCTGTACTGGTGCATCTTTATGTTTGCTTGCAGCTATTAGCCTCACCCATAGGAACAAGAATCTCCACATCAGCTTTGTTTCTCATGATTGGATATGAAAAAAGAAAATAGAGTCAACACCTACAAAATTTTTCACAAAAGTGAAAATGAGATCATATTCCTCTTTGTCTCAAAATAAATGTCTACATTACTATTTTAATATGTCCCAAAATATGTTCCCACTTTCAAAAGTAAATGATTACTCTCTCATCCTACCTTTATTACGATGAGTTGAGTTCCGATGATAAGAGAAGTTATGGTGAGAAGCATAAGAAGAGATTTCTACCCTTGGACCAATCCTAATTGAATGTTAACACTAATGAGGTGCACCGAGATGCAGCGGATCAATTTCCTTTTAAAGCGTAATTCATGAGTGGACATGAGATTAAAATGATCAAGGGTTCAGATATCTTCTTACGTTTTTCATCCTAATTTCCCTTCTCACACGATTCTTCGCCTTATTATGAGATGGAGAAAGTTTATCTCTACTATCGAGGATAAAAGTGTCATTTAATTATTTAAAGAATGTAATAGTTACATATCTCAGTAGCTAAATCACAGACACTTTTGTGCTATATACATTTTTCCATAATGTCCGAGTCTGCAGAATTTGCAGCACTATAACAACATATGTTTCTTTGAAAATCCATGGTGTTATTGGCCATGTATACATAAAATTTGCTTTTGGTATTACCCAAAGTACATTGTTGCTGCTTCTTTTTTTGACTTGTACAACTGATTTATCCTTTTCAAATTCAATTTCAACATGGTATTTCTATTCCCTCCTCTTGAGTCTTCGACAGCCATTTAGGTACATAATAAAATATTATTAGAAGAGAGAATATTATGTAATGACATCAAAAGCCTACCAGAATGCAGTTCGTAGCTTCAATGATGCTTCTGAAGATAGTCTCTTGATCTTATGTCAGCCTACAAAGGTAAAAACAAAAAAATCAAAAACTATTCAACAAATTTTATATGATGACAACTACAAATAGCAGCTTTTATGAAAAGGGAGATGAAAAAGGCACACAAGTGCAAAAAGCAGGGTTGGGTTCCGGTGAGAAGGAAAATTAAGTTGAGAAGTGTAAGAAGGGATCTCCACTCTTTGATGCACATTAGGATGAAATGCACCGGATCAACCCCCGTATCAAGCGCGATTCATGGGTGGGTTTGAGATTAAAGGGGATCGAGGGTCTAGATCTCTTCTTACATTTCTCACCTTAACTCCCTTTCCCTCACGATCTTTCGTCCTTTTCGCATACCTTATGGTCATGTACTCTAAAAATTAGACTAAGGGGCCTTTAACCAAACACTTACCGGGTGTCACTTAACTTGCCTCGTTTGGCCACCTCTATCTCATATCCGACCAACCCCGCCCCTGTACCAACATCATAGCAACCATGGCCCTCATCGACCCAACTTCAAGGTAACCCTTCCCCTACACCTCCAACGGTGAAACCACCGTCTTTTTGTGTGTGAGAACATCTGCAACACCTTCCATATATGCCCATCGATCATCTCCATCTGTGTGTGTGTGTCAGAAATATCATGGATCTGTATGTGTATACACGATCTCGTGCGTGTAGAACCACCATTGGAGATCTCGTTTTATGTTATTTTCTTGAGTTATTGTCGATGTGTGCGAGCAACATGAAAGGAGGTCGGTTTTTTAATTTGTTAACAGGTTTTATTACACCCAGATATAGGTATGTGTAAAAGGGGAAGGGGGTGCCGTATGTGTGCAAGAAGAAAGGGGTGCCGAAAATGTTGTCTGACTATTAAGAAAACCCCATATCTAGGGAGAAGGCTGAAGTTTCAGAAGAGGGGGATATGCAAGTGATGGGACCAACAAACCATGGGTGTTTAATGATGTCTATGGTTGGGGAAGAAAAGGGGTGGGGGATATATGTAGTATAATAATAATATTTTTGTTTGCTTTTACTAGAAAATCAAATAAACGAAAAAAAATAGAAAAATGCCCTTGAGTTAAAAGACCTTGTTAACGACTGTTAGCCACAGGGATCGAAAGAGAAACAAAGTGACAACCACAGTGATGAAAAGTGTAATTAGTTTAATATAAGGACTAGACTTGGTAGTAAGAGGTAACCATAGGACCAAAAGTGTAATTTACTCTACAATTTATTTATACGGACTGAAGTAAATTTATTTGGCAAAGTTCTAACTCGAATATATGCTTATATACATACATATATTCGTATATGGGGGGACCTTCTTTTGAGAACTCTCTAAATCATGAGATCTCTGAGACCGGTGCGACCGGTGCATCATGTGCTATTTAATATGATTTTTTTCATCCTTGGCTAGAATTTAATGTAGTGATTAACATATATTTGTTTCACAATGTGCTTGTTTCACATGTAATCGGTTCACAATGCGAACCTTTTTGACGTGTTTGTAAAACAAAAAATACACGTAAAAAAGTCGCATTGTGAACTGATTACATATGAAACATACACATTGTGAAACAAATATATGTAATCAATACATTAAATACTATACTTAGATAAAATCATATGAAACAAAAGCTTAAGGTAGAACTTTTCACAGATCTCACAAATTATGGAGTTCTCAAATGATTAAGCCCCTTCACATATGTATCTTATATATTTAGAGTTGGGATCAAGTGAGAACAAACCTTTTCATGAAAAGGTGAGAACACTTCCAAGCCTTTGGATGAGTTTATTTTTTGATCTAACGGCTAAAAGAATGGGGACCTTCAACTATCTTGATCTGATGGTGGATAAAAAACACGGACCTTTATCTACCTTCATGAACTTTTGCATACCTTTAATCACTTGCACATGCATTAACTTGTTAAAGTTACAATCATGGGGATAGAAATAGGTAAATGAAAGTAGATGAAGACTTGTAAAATGCATGTAAATGAATGTAGATGAACATTTGTAAAATGCACGTAGATGCAAGTGCCTGACGGTAGATGGAGATTTGTAAAATGCACGTAGATACAGGCGGATGAAGGCTTATGTTCTCACCTTCTCACCAAAAATTCATCCTCACAAGAACCCATATACATGTGTATCATATGAAGGCCATGTGTGTCTATCATATGAACACAAGAATGTTTGTTGAAAAATAGGGAGCAATGGGAGTTTTTGTAAGGCCCTACCCAACCCACAACCCATCTAGTAAACCAATATTTTTTACTAGTTCTATTGTATTATTGTTTTTAGCCCCAGTTACCCCTACCTCTACCCCATTTGTGCCACCTCCTCCACCCTGTTTCTCCAGTAAATGCTTAAATCTCTTTGAGTAAAAACCAAACCTATTTAGAAATTATGTCGAATACAAGAACAAGTTAAAATAGATTGGACGCCAAAGAAACGTTTTTTTACCTGCCTAATGGGCTCCGGCACACGGTATTTGCATGTTCTTTTAACAACATCAACAGCAGAAGCAAGAGATATACGGTGGCCAATTGAAACATATATTGGTTTAAATGATCCTTTACTTGAATGTAGTGCCTGTACAACAAAATTTATAAAGATAACTTCCTTTTCTTATTGCAACTCATAAAGCCCACTCGTAAAAAAGGATCAATGCGTTACACAAAATTATAAACAATTATAAGATCCTCCCAGTTGATATCCTTGTGACCTAACACCTTCTCCTTTGATATCCCTAGTAACCTAAAAATTAATGTTGTTCCTTCTAGCACCCCTGTCTTAGGATTCATATTATTGCAAGACAAAGTTAACATATTAGGAAAGAAAAGTAGATGTTTGTATACAGAGGGACCAATTGTCATTAATGCATAATGAGTGATAACTCCTTGATGCGAGTCAATGGGTATAGTCTCTCAATAGAAAAAATAGAGATTGCGATGTTTTTATGTCCCAAGTCTGTGCCCTTTTTCTGTCTTTTCCGTTGTGTTTTATATAAACTGAAGTTGGGAAGATTTCTAAAAAAGTTCAGGTGAAGTGTTACATGGTGCATTCAGACGGTGACAGTAGCTGGTAGGGAATATACTCTGTTAGGAAAAAGAAACAGTTTGACTCTTAGAGCGTGAAAAGGGAAATAAGACACAAAGCAACAAAATTGCAGACTTTTGGTAGAACAAGCAGGAGGGTGTAAGTGTGCAAGCACAACCCAAATGTGGAAAAAAAGCCCAAGTGTGCCTACAAGTAACTCTCCCAAGGCTTTCACCCAAAACGCGCACACAAAAAATTGATCGATACCCTTCTAACTGCCCACTCCCTTTATTACATTACCTAAAGCATGTACCAGTTAATCTACTCTATTTGACTGACTTACTAAAATACCTAGGGCATACACTATGCAAGAGTGTGTGCCACCCTACTTCATTGGATTTGGAACTTAGCTTGAACTGTTAGAAGAGGTTAATATAAGTATCTGATACATCAATGCTTTCCTGCAAAATGGCCTTGTAATATCAGGTAACACACACAATTACACCGTTGGGCATAGAAATACTAACTAGAAGCCTAAAGCAAATGGGTCATAACTATGAAAGAAAAAAAAATTAAAAATAGGATCAACTAGTAATGATCACATAACTAATGCAGTCAACCTGTTCAGGTTTTCTGCCTCGTGCATAATGTATTAATTGAACCCCAAACAAGAATAATATCAGTTGGCATAGAAGAGATAAAATGCAGACACAACCTCTAATGACGCTCCCAGGATCCATTATGCTCTAATATAAGAAATCTGCAATTAGTATAGCTCACAACTGTGTCCAACGCAATTGTATAGAGCATGTGGTAAAATAAGCATTTTATCAAGAAGATAGAATACCATTGGTCATTTGGTTTATCACATTTGTCTGTTCTTTCAAGCCGAAGTTTCGTCTAACCACCTCCTCATTCATAATCAGTGTCTAGACATTTCATAGTAAAAAAAAGCAGAAATGTATGACATGCACTCTCTGAGATAAGTGGGTGTTAAGATGAATATAGTTATTTATTTCTATGATGTTCACTCGTGAATATATCCAATATCATGGTAGTAATTTAATACTTTGTAGTTCACAATAACCTATTTGTGTTATCTAGATCTTATTAATAGAAAATCATATTGATGATTCTTGACTTCTAATAACAATTATCAATAAATAATGCATACAAAGTGATGCACATGAAGACATAAATACAGTTAGAAGGACTAAAATCATAGATTCAGATCTCTCACCACTCCCAAAATGTTCCCCGAGTCCCCAATTAAAGAGGTGAAATCTATGTTGACGTTCTCTTCAGCTTCCAGGAGTTCCCTTACTCTGGATTTTGTAAGACCATCAACGTGATGCAACTGAAAAAGAAAAGAGATAAAATAGTCACCCAACTTTCATGGTTCTTTCATTCATATGCCTCAACAAAAAGATTCGTCAATAACATACTTGAAATCTCACAATCATATCTATTATATCCTTACCATTCAATTGAGGTGGGATTTCACAAATCTAAGTGGCCAATGGTCAATGATCTATGCTTTAATTCACAAACAAAATGAGGTTCTTATCGACTTGTTAAGCTCCCTCAATCTTGACTATAAATTGTTAACAAGGACTATTATGGAAATAATCTAATAGGATTGTGAGGTATATGGTTTATAGATCTTTGAAGGGTGCTCAAAAACCCAACCAACCCGATCAACCCAACCCAGCCCAATGCGAAATAACTCAACCTGAAGCAACCCAGTGTCTAATCAAGTTGTAAAATCTTCAAACCATAGGTATCGGATTGATATTGGGTTACTTTTATTTGAACCCAACCCAACCCGATGAACCCGATATTCTTTTATTTCTTGGATTTAATATTATTGTTGAGTCTCTATTAATATGTACATTAGACGATTACAACATCAAATACCCTCTTCATATACATATATTTTCAACCTATTATCCATCTTTAGATAACTTTTTTGTATATATGTTCGGTAACTGTGAACATATACATACATATATATATATATATATTCAAATCGAGAGAATTAATTGAATGTGATATAATTAAGATTTAAGAAGTACGGATAAGTTGCACCAAATGGTTGATGAAAAAGAAATTATCAGTAGACTAGAGAAAACAACATATTCAAGGTTAGGAGAATATTTTGATGTACCAAAGTATCAACCCGACCAACCTGTACGGTTTGGGTTGGGTTGAGAACAACATATTCAAGGTTAGGAGAATATTTTGATGTACCAAAGTATCAACCCRACCAACCYRTAYGGTTTGGGTTGGGTTGGGTTGCACTTTGATTTGGGTTGGGTTGAGATTTTTCAAACCGCAAGTATTGAGTTGGGTTGTTCAAATGCCTTTAACCCGATCAACCCATGAACACCCCTAGATCTTTCGGTTCAGGTATGCAAATGAAAACTGCATGAAAGTTTAGTCTATCACTTTATCTATTTTGCTAAATTATGTTCGAATTTAGAACTCATGGTCAAGGTAAATGATAAGGGTAAATTGCATGAAAATGTAACCTACATTGTTTTGATTCCTATTTTAGGTAACATACTTCAAAAATCTTCATTTTAGTACCTAAAACGTAACTTCTCAAACATTTAAGTACTTGGGTAACTGATTTAAACATTAACCGGTTATCATGCTGACTTGGCGAGTGACATAAGCATACAACTTAGCGTTATTTGTTTATGTGATAAATGATGTGGATTTTTTATATAAAATTAGTTCTAAAATATTTTTATCTTTATTAGAATTTTATACTTGAATCTAAAATCTAAAGAGGGGAGGGATTCCCATTTTCACCATCTGTATCCCTCATCTTCCCTGTTGACATCCCCTTCCCCCGACAACCATTTCCCCATCAAACTGATAGGAAGACAATGCCTCTGGTGGAACCACATCCTCAATTAATTTCACTAAACAAATACTCGTTGAAATACAGTGGATCTTCATAATCTTGACTAAAATAGGTACCACCAAAAAACCCCTAAGAACAAGCTCATCAGTTAGGGTTGAATGTTACCTAAGACTGTGTTCCATAAGCTGAAAAGATGGGCTAAAGTAAGCATTTTCCAATAGTTGAACCCAAAGGTTTTTCTTCTCTCTCTATTACTAGTTTGTTTACACAAGCTTTTGCACACAACCTTCCATATTGACGTATTCCTAGAGAACCCCAAATTGGGAAGTGAATTAAAGAATAAGGAATACCTGAAATGTCGAACCATTTCAAAAGCTTCCGTTTTTACATTCACTGAGAAAACCCCAAAAATTGGAGAAGTGTGAAGAAATTTTATACTCTCTACTTCAAGGGTCTGGTTCTTTTTTAGAAGGGGATGCGTGAGGGCAAGGTCATTGGGGAAGGGGAAGGGGAAGCTAGGGCAAGCAAGCAGTAGCTAGAGAAGGAGACGCCAGGGGGATGGTCACCGGGGGAAGCGGTTGCCGGAGGAAAGGAATACCGTCGGGGAAGATGGGGAATGTTGACTGCTAGTAACTATGATCGTTGGCTTATACGTCGATGCTGATTGGTACGGCCGGTCCAATCTGCGGCATGATATTTTCAATTGTCTAAAATGATTTTGGTGATGGGTCGACGCCTATTCACTATATGCCGCTAAGCATCCATGGCTGAATGATGGAGAACATCTTGAGATTTTAGATTAAGTTATAAAATTATAAGAGAAAATAATAATATTATAATAATAATTTCATACAAAAAATCCACATTATAAGCCACATAAGGAAATAATTATGAGTTGTATGCTTACGCCATTCACCATGTCAGCATGGTAACTGGTAGGTACTTAAATGTTAGAAAAGTTATATTTTAGGTACCAAAATGAAAGTTCTGAAGGTATGTTACTCAATATAGGAATCAAAACAAAGTAGGTTACATTTCATGCAATTTGCCACCAAATGATGATTACCAAAGTCCAGTCAGCATTTTATAAATTCTAGAGAGAAAAATGACAGGTATTTCAGGGTAACAATTTCAAAGATAGGTGGGTAACAAATAAAAATAAATGGTGAATCCATAAGTTGCTTGATTTTAGTATGACTGCAGCCAGGGACACTTTTCATGAAGGCTTACATTCTTCCCTATGCCAATTGTAGGAAGATTAGCCACAACCCCAAGATGGCAAGCTGAGCCAAACCCTACATGCAAAACATTTACCAAAGAGTTCAGTAAATGCAGCTTACATGATAGCAATGCAGTGTAGAAAGAATATGATTAAAACCAGCGGTAAAAGGAATACAAAAAAACTCTATGTACTAGTTGAAAGAACTGGACATCTACCCATTATGATATGGTTATTCAGAATCTGACCTACACTCGTAAAGGCTCCGTCAAACATTTTTTTTTTTTGCAACTTTAGAAACTTACAAGACTCTTTTTCTTTTTAACTGTGCCCTGATATTTTATAACCTAGCTAACAACATTCAAATAATTAGTCTTCTACCATGAACCTAGTACCACCCTTATCAAAGAAGGAGTACCCTACCTTTGGGCACATATATTGTTAATCATATGAATAGAGAAGGTTCAAGGACAAAAGAAAGAAAATCCTACCTTAGTAACTTTCACATGTATGAATGGAGAAGCAGCTTAAAAGTTACAAGGTTCAAACTGGACACAAGTATGTCATACCATAACGTAGATTTCAATACAAAGATGCAACCCCACTGTTAACCAATGCCCATGCTTTCTTCAGTGCCATTATGGTTCCAGGTTTTCTAAAACTCAACCTATCAAGTTCTTAATTTATTTGTAAGTCACCATGTTCTTTAAGATCACTTACATACGTGTGGAACTCTTTCATTTCTTCTAGATAAAACCTGGTGAAATTACCAGGAATTATGGATTCTTTTGGGGGAAAAAAATCTATTCACTTGTACGCCATCCTTCCTGACCTTACCTCGACTCATATAAAAAAAGAGACCCTTCAATTTTAAGATCATGATCTAAGCTACCATGAGCTCTTAATTTCCAGGAAAAAGATGAACTCTCAAACAAAAATTTGGTGAGTAGCTGCCCGAGTCACAAACAAGAAAATTAACGGTATCCAAGAAACATCAAAAGTCCCACTGTTCCCTTACTTAAAAGGAGTCTCCAGACTACAGACATAGATTTGAAACAAAAACATATACCTCGAGGATGAAGTATTCCATTTCCATCGATCATCAACAACTGAGGATGAAAAAAAAGGATCCATGTCATGGTTGAGAACTATTGTCATATATAATCAACACATTAATGAATATGAAACTGGCTTCAAAATAGTAATCTTTGATGAAGACATTCAGATTCTGTGTACGCATGTCAAATTCACTTTTGGTGGCTGCATAGCTGATAAAGACACATGTTGCAGGGAAAAAAAGCTATCATCAAGGACCACCACCTGAGGGTAGAAAGGATGAGAACCATTCCGCATTTTCTCCAAAAGTCCTAGAAATATTGGTGCCTGATAACAATAAGAAATGCAAGTCATTTGACAACTTCACATGTCAGCTATTCGTATTCAATTTGACTCATGAAGAACTCTGCTAAAAGAAATGGGATTTTAGAACTCACGCTATGTAATTGTGACATTCATAGGGAACATATCGACTTTCCTCACACAACTAAAGCATTAGAAAAAAGATTAATGAGGCAAATTTCCTCCAAAACTTTGGAGCCTGATAAGAATAAGCAATGTAAGTCCTTAGAAAACTTTCCATGTTAGCTATTAGTAATCACTTGACTCATGAATAACCCCCTCATAAAAGAATAGTGGGATTTTAGAACACATGTTAAGCAATTATGACACTCATAGGGAAGGCATGCATATCGACGTTCCTCACACACAACTTAAGCTTTAAAAATGTTACTGGAGCAAGTTTCCTCCAACAGAAATAATATTTTCTGCAATAGTGGTAGTGAAGAACTAAACTGGAACTTGTCCAAATCAATCTAATGGAAAATCTCACTAGTTTTTGTCAGCTCCATTTCTGCTTCTGCAGATCCTTGCCTTCACATTCAAAGTGGAAATAGGATGTGGCTATTTAATTTGCTTAGACATTGAAAACAAGCAGAATTTGCATTCTTAGTGGTAATCATGTAAAAAGATTAAAGCACCCTTAACCAGATGCATAGCTGTGAAACCCCTCATTGGACAAAGGTATACCTGGAAGAGTACAAGTCTGTGAGTTTACACTCATTCAGCAATGCAACCATGATATTTGCCGAGTTAAGAGTGAAACTAAGCACAAACCATGATATTTTACAATCTGAAGATGTGATATTACCTAGCTGTAAGCCTTGTTCTGAGTTTGACATAACACAAGTTACATGATTGCGTGATTGGATGAAATATTTTTTTGGGATCAATCTTAAACCTGATGAAGACAACAGCAATCCAAGTGGGGGGTTAATAACATGTTTTAGTTGGTTCGGAGGTATTTAGGGTCAACATGTTTCTTTGTACTTGCAATGTTATAGTATATGTATAAGAGATTAAGTGATGAGAAGATAGTTGCACTACATGGGTATGGTGAAAAAATACAAGTCACTGCATCATAGTTGTTAAAAGCGCACCTGAAACACGCCTAGGCTCTGAGGCTCATAAGGCTCAAGGTCTTGGGCCTTTTTTAAAGTCGAGGCGAGGCGTATTCACAAGGCTCACATAGGCATTGCGCCTTGGCTAAGGCCCCTTGTGGGCTTAGGCGCACCTCATACAAAGTTACTAAATATCTAGTCAAACCCTAATATTAAATAAGTTTTCTCATCTTTTCATCTCCTGGACTTCTTAAGATAAGAGTTACTAAATAGATGACATAAGTCAAACCCTAATATTAATTACCCAGTCCTTAGAACTTCAAGCCTCCTCTATAAATACCTAGACCTTAAAACTTCTCCCTCAGGGCTCACGCTTTAAACCCTTCTCCCTATTGCCTGTATCGATGTACTGTTGGTTGATGCATTGGAGGCTTGTACTTGCTGCATATTTGAGTTGTGTGTAATTTTTTGTGTGTGTGTATGTGTATATACCTATACCTACACTACCTTATAAGCAAATCTGCAGAAGTCTTAAAAACAACTTCTAGTGCATAGAGTACTGCTTGTTAATGCATAAAGTCTTAAATTTCTTAATTACAACTTTATAAGCTTCATGTACAACTCTATTAAAGCATAAGTCTTTCACAGCCCCATTGCATTGATAATAATGCTCCACCCTCATCATTGCCTCTCCAACCTTCTCCTAGCTCTCCAACCTTCTCTGATGATTCACACTCTCGAGACGACGATTCAGGCCCCAAGACACTGATTCAGGCCCTCCAAGACGATGATGCATAACCCTAGAGTTTATAAACGATCGCTCCTCAAGAAAATTCACACTCATGGTTTTATAATAGCTCCTCTTGCTCCTCTCGCTGCACTCGCTCCTCTAGACGACGATTTGTTTAGGCGGATTCAGGCCCCTGACTGGTACGTTTGGTTTCTTTGTTTTTTTATTAGAATGTGTTTCTACTCCAGAAGGTCTCCCTTTTGCAATTTTTGCTATATTTCTTGGTGTTTTGTTGCCTATTAGTTTTCTCCTTACTTTTAGTTTCATTCCCTTACTGGTACATTTGGTTTCTGTGTTTTATTCTAGGTATTACTGCTTGAAATTTTATATAAATCTTATAGAAATTGGAGGGAATATGTTTCAAATACAGGTTCTAAATGTGTTTCGACAACCTACTACAGAAGAATATGTTTCAAAACTTTCAAAGTTTTTGGGAGTCCATCAAAGTTCTTTTGTTGCTTTAATACATTCATCAAAGTTTTTGCAAATCAAATTTACAGGTTTGTTGCTCCTTGATTTGTTAGGGTCTGAGCTGCATTAGTTGGAAGCAGGGACTTCCATCGATCCTTGTGCTTACACCGTTGCTCGACAAATCCTTCTCAGGTAATTGCATATACATAGTTTATTCGATGTTATCCAAGTGATTTTTGGCCGTTGGTTCTAACTTAGCCAAGATAAATTTGCTGCTTGAAGTTTTACAGAAATCTTCAACCCACTATAGGGGATTATGTCTCAAAACATTCAAAGTTTTTAGTTCATCAAAGTTTTTGGGAGTTCATCAAAGTTTTTAGGAGTACATCAAAGTTTTTGGCACAAGTTTTTGAAAAATTTACAGAAATCTTCAACCCACTCCAGTGTTGTTATTATTTGACATTGCTATATTGCCTTTGTGAGGATAGAGTCATAAAGAGTAACAATACAGTTTATAATGCTACAACATCAGGTATAGTAAGCAAAATCCTACGAAAAGAAAAGGGGGGATACGAAATAACCATAGCGGATGCATCGGATGGACGTCAAGTGGTTRATATTATCCCTCCGGGGCCAGAACTTCTTGTTTCAGAAGGGGAATCTATCAAATTTGATCAACCKTTGACAAGTAATCCTAATGTGGGCGGATTTGGTCAGGGAGATGCAGAAATAGTACTTCAAGATYCATTACGTGTACAAGGCCTTTTCTTCTTCTTCGCATCTGCTATTTTGGCACAAATATTTTTGRTTCTTAAAAAGAAACAGTTCGAGAAGGTTCAATTGTCCGAAATGAATTTCTAGAATCGCGGATTTATCGACATCAAGTTTGTAAAAAGAACCAAATTTATTGCACATTGCCACATCCATTTTCTTCTGAATTGTCTTTACTTTTTACCTTTCAAGGTTTACTTTTATGATCAAGAACTTCGGACATGGATGTTAGAGAGATCTTTTTAACTTCCTTTCTACACCCACATTGTTTCACTTTTCCATGAAATTACATTCTGAAGTGACGTTGATTCCTCTAGCTTGAAGAGCGTCTCGAGAAATTTTAAATTTAGAGGACAATAAGGGTATCTTTGTACACTGTTTTGCGATGTCTTAAAAACTTGGTATGTAGAAAACACAATTGATTTCTGCAGTTGGTTTACGAGACCTAATTGATTTTCATTGATATTGCAGGGACAAGGTTTTTGAACAACATAAAATCTTGTATCATTCTGCTATGCCATTTACTTTTTTGGTTCTAAAACTACATGGGTTACTTTATACACTTGACACAATTTATTAGTAGCTTAGGTTTGAGAAAAAATGTAGAGAATTTGGAGAAGTATAGTGAAACAAGTCTACGGTCAATGGTCAATATTGGGTCTGAAGTATACACACAAGCTGATGTGTATGTATTTTGACCATGGACCTGTGATTTGTTTTACTACAGGAAAAAGTTTTTGATCATTGAAATCCATTTTTAAGTAACTTTCAAAACAAAATGCTTGTGCTTATAAAAAGGCAGGAATTGTGGATGAAGAGACCAATAAAATCCTTCTTTTACAATTGTTCCTTTTCATTAAAGTGATTTCAATCTTACGCATAAAGCTCTTCATGTTTGCAGTCCTGATACCACGCCACATATTTCCAGATGTTGGGATTATATTGCATGTAGATCTCACTTGGTGAGGCTTTTAAAATCATCCCTGCCAGGGAAGAAAAATTAGATAGGTATTTGTTTGAATATTCTGTTTTTGGTTTTGTATTGCATCTTTTATGAATAGTGGCATCATAAATCAAAATAATCAAACTAAAAATACGAATATTTGGAATGGGCACAAGCTCATCAGATATTAAGTGGTTGTGGTTGTTTTGTGTAAGGCAAATCGAGGAATACACCCATCTGATTGCACAAATAAAAGCCCAAATCAAGACGGTAAGTTTACTTGAAAGCGAACTCTGTGGTTCTGTTCGAAGTTGGATAATTTAACATAATGTTTTTGGTGATACTCACAGGTTTGCAAGGGATATGAGAGTTGCTACAACTGCCAGTGGGAGTAATTCTGCCAAACTATTGAGGCAAAAACAATAAACTAAACATTGAAATTTGTTTAGATCAGATTTGCCAATTTGATTTGTTGTCAAAACATATTCAATCTTTCTTCAAGTGAAATATATAAATTGTTTGAGTTATCGATCATAAACGAATGCCTTTCTACCATTAAGTACTCTCATTGTTTGAATAATAAATGAATGTAGAGGATTTGTTTCACGGTCCATTGACCGGATAAGACTACACGGAATTATCTTTTTTGTAATTCCAGTTGGTAACTTCACTGTTTACCCATTTGATATGACTTGGGATATGTCTATACTCTGCCACTATGTTGTCATTTATATGAATTGTTGTTTACACAATTAAAATTTTGTTGGTCTTTCGATTCTAAAGAGAATGTTAATGCAACTATGAAACTGGAGGTAATCTTAGAATTATCAGTTGAGTAAGGGGTTGTCTACTAAATGCATATTGGTTAAGTGCTTATCGACATCACTGATGTTACCGTTTCAGCATGGGAAGGACTAAAAATCTCACCCCATAAGAGGCATAATATGGACCGAGAGTCTCACTTGGTAAGTTAGAAAAAAGACTCTTACCGGTTTAACCGTTTAAGATACTTACCAACAATCCTTTTTTATGGCTGTTATAAGATTAAGGTAAGTGAGAGTAATTTCTCTTACCAGATAAGCATTTAGTAAACGTCCCCTGAAAGCATCTAAGTAGTAAGCCCACCCCAAGATGAGTAATGTAGAACCAAGACTTGACAAATACCATTCAAAAGGTTGCTGCTAAGATGATTTAGTTATATATGCATTAGTTAAATCTGGATCAGATTCTGTTTGAGGGCAAGTGAATGAATTAGTCTTTGAGAAACAAGGGCTATGGTTGTGCAAAATGTATGCTAACTTAATGCGTAAGACTCTCTATCCTTGTCATCGCATTTACCGGGTATGACCCTCTATCCTTATCATCACATATAATGGGTAAGATTCTCGGACCTTACCATGTTCATCCGTTAAGGTAAATGACCCGGTAAGCGCTTACTGGATAAGCGTTAAGTAAACGGCTCCAAGTACAAACCCTATCATCGTAATGTCTTAAAATCACTTCCAACAAAACCAAAGCTTCAAAATCATTTACATTGCATGACTCCCACCGCATTGTGCGGATACACAACTACTATATTTTGATAGGATGTGCTTCGCATTCCTGAGGCCCGCGCCTAGGCCCTGGGACCCTTTGTGCAGTGCCTAAGTCCACCTTGAGCCTTTCACTAGTCCTTGGAGAAAATGAAAGTTACTTTCAATTTCATTAAAGACTTATGACCTCACTTTTTAAGGTAAACATGATGAGTTGTACCCTCCTCAAGAACTATAACTGTGATTGCAAACCATCATCTTAAGATAATTGATTTAAGAAGAATCTGCCTTGAGGATTTTGAGATGTGTGAATCAATAATTCTAGTTGTTGCAGTTGTACTCTATGATAGATTTTCCTACAAACCCACTCGCACCATAGTAGAAGAACACTCTCCTTAAGATAGTTTTAAATGTTCCTTTGCCCAACAAAATGTTCTTTCCTTTTTACAATCATTCTGTCATTATATAATGTATAACACCCACCATGTAGCACATTTATATGGCATATCAACATCTTGGTGAAGTTGAACAATTGTGAGTTCCTACTTTATTAATAAAAATATTAATGCATAATGATGGAACATTGTATATAATTGTTCATCCTTTGGGTTGCTATATAATCTATCAAAGTGGAAGGGGTGTTAGAAAACAAGTTCCTAGAGACGCTAAAATTCAATGTCTTCACTGATTAGATGCTCAATCTTAATATAATCTTTTATCGTATTTGGCACCTTTAGCCCAAAGGGTCCATGCAAACCCCCCTGCAGGCGAGCTTTAGGCTTTCCAACCCAAAGGGATTAATAGCACTAATACTTATAATCCATGCAAATACAACAATTTATGTGTACGGCTTTACATTCTAGGCTTTACAAATGAGCAACAACAACAATCAACATAAAGAAATAAGCTCAAAATACAGGAAAAGTAAGGGGAATCTGAAGTTGATAAAGAAGTAAAAGAAATACACACCTCTCTGAAGCCAAGAAAGCCAGGAACATATGGAACATCGATCTTAACGATAGAAGAATCCTCATAAACCACATCAAGAGTTTTGAAATCCAAAACAACAAGGGTTCCGCAAGCTACAGAGGGATCAACCTTTGAAAAACTTATATCAACTCCACCTAAATATTTCAACAATTCTACACCACAGATCTCTTCTGCATCCCCCAACTTCCAAGTGTAATCATCTTCAGCGACTAATTTCTTTTTCAACGAATCTTGAGCCCTAGTTCAATTGAATTGGGCATGTGGGATTCATGATGTTGATGAAGAAAATATGAGTGAACAAATGAAGGACACTTACCGAAGCCATTTATTATAAACTTGATCGGACAAATGAAACACTGAAGATGATGCAGAAGATAAGGATTCGAGCTTAGATTTTCTCTCCATGCAGCATCGGTTGCGCACTAGTTTTCTGTTTCGAGAAGTTGTAATGTTTGAAAAAGTGCTACATTTCTGTTTTTTTTTTTTTTTTTTATGTTTTCGAATTTACGATTTTGTCTTTATAGTTTGTCTTGTTCTTCGTTCACGAGGCCTGGAGGTGTATATGAGACGTTACAATCCGCGAGTTACACGAGATTGACGTGGTCAACATTCGATTTAAGGAGACTTAAACTCGAGCTCAACACAACATATTTATGAATTGAGTCGAGTCAAGCTATCCGATTCTCAAACTTGAAAAACTCGTGAGAAATTCAATTATTTTGTATATAATTAATTTTATAATATAATATGTAAAATACAAGGTGAAACTTTTTCAATAAACATATCAAAATAGAAGAAAAATATTGTAATGTTTTAGATATTTGAAAATTTGTTCATCTTTTAGCTATAAAAAATAATCAATTATTTTTAATTAAAATCATAATTAAAAAAGTTATATAAGTGTTAATGAAGTTATCCCATATTGAAAGAAATATAGTTAATTGATAACTTTGTATTTTTGATGATGATGATGATTGAGATGCATTCCTTGAGATTTATAAATTTAAAGAGTACACCTTTAGGTTTTATAATTTAAGAGAGAAGAACCTTAAAGTTTATAAATTTCAATAGGCAAGCTTGGTTCGAGTTTGATTTGAGTTCAAGTTTGTGCTTGTTCGAGCTTGATTTAACTTCAAATATGTGCTTGATTCAAGTTTGAGTTTGAGTCTAATTTGAGTTTGAGATTGGTTCGAGCTTCAAACGAGTCCGAGCTTGACTTCGAGTTTAGAAAGTTGCGATCGAGTGTGTGTTGACTTTAATTTTTAACTAATTGCGAGTTTACGAGTAGAGTTCGAAATTGAGAATGACTATCAAGTTTGAGTCAATTATGCCAATGTCGACACATATCATTTACAACCCTACTAAGGCAATGTCGTTAAAAAGATTTCGTCAGCTTAGAGGCATTTTGGAATTTTGATATTTTTCTTTCCTTTTCATCTAAAAAACTAAAAAATATATTAATATATTTCATTATAGGGTTGGGTTCTAGTAAGAAGGAGAGTAAATGTGAAAAGGATAAGAAGGGATTTCCATCTTCTTCTTCTTCTTCTCCTTCTTCTTCTTCTGCTCCTTCTTCTGCTCCTTCTTCTCCTGCTGCTTCTTCTTCTGCTGCTTCTGCTTCTTCGGCTGCTTCTGCTGCTGCTGCTTCTTCTGCTTCTTTTGCTGCTTCTGCTGCTGCTGCTTCTTCTGCTTCTTCTGCTTCTGCTTCTTCTGCTGCTGCTTCTTCTGCTTCTGCTTCTGCTTCTTCCTCTTCTGCTTCTTCTGCTTCTTCTACTTCTTCTGCTTCTTCTGCTTATTCTGCTTCTTATGCTTCTTCTTCTGCTTCTTCTTCTGCTTCTTCTTCTTCTGCTTCTTCTGCTTCTGCTTCTGCTTCTGCTTCTTCTTCTGCTTCTTCTGCTTCTTCTTCTGCTTCTTCTGCTGCTTCTTCTGCTTCTTTTGCTTCTTCTTCTGCTTTTTCTGCTTCTTCTCCTTCTTCTTCTGCTTCTGCTTCTTCTTCTTCTTCTTCTGCTTCTTCTGCTTCTTCTTCTTCTTCTTCTTCTTCTTCTTCTTCTTCTTCTTCTTCTTCTGCTTCTTCTGCTTCTTCTTCTTCTTCTTCTTCTTCTTCTTCTTCTTCTGCTTCTTCTTCTTCTTCTTCTTCTTCTTTTTCTCCTTCTTCTTCTGCTTCTTCTTCTTCTTCTGCTTCTTCTTCCTCTTCTGCTTCTTGTTAGCTCTCATTCCTTTAATGTAAAAGTATATAAAAAGTAAAACAGCAAGTATTGACTGAAGCTGATCTGTTACAGAAGACCTCAGAGGATAATTATCAGAAGAAGCTCTTTTATACAAGGTCAAAGTGACAGAACCTCCGTCTTCATCCACAGAGGTTCTGGAAACTTGTCCTCTGCCAAGACAATGTTACAAGACAAAGACGACA